GCCTTTCTCTACTTCTATGTTATTTAATTGCTTATGAGCACCCTCTGGTGGAGGGCAGAAAAGGAAAAAGAACATTAAATATATTGCTTCTAACTCACAAGGCTGGTGAGGGGGGAAAAGTAAGTTGAAATATGTAGAATTCTCTTGACCTTGCCTTTCTTCTCTGTAATTACTTTATAATTTAGAGCTAGCTGCTGAATAAGTAATATTAACCATATAGTTACTTAGAGCCTATAACTAATCATTCAATAAACATGTATTAAGTAAGCTTATTTAGGGATTTCTTATCTCTTCTCAAGAGCTTGTATGACATTCCTCCAAGTGCCAACCAGAGGAGAGTATGTTTAGATATATTTTGGCTCTTGAGTGTTCCTAAGAGCCCATCTCTGACCTTCACTACCTGCTTATAACTGAAACTTTTAAAAGGATATGTTACAAGTGATGTCCAAACCTGGAGCTTACTACAAGTTTCATTTAACTACTATCTTAAGCAAGAAAGAGAGTAGAGTGTTCCTATCTGCTGCAATGAGTGGGGAGAATAGTTAAGCCTACTACTGAGAACTTTCAGTTTAAACACATTTATTCAGCCTGGAAGCTCACTTCTCTTTTGTCACCACTATTAAAGCAAAATAACTATTCTTCTTCTCTGTCTTAAGGCTGCAAGGTGCCATTTTCTGACTTTATCCCATCAATGCTGCCTGTGATATAATTCCATATGTATAAAAACATTGGTGGGCTAATACAAAAACACCGAACTTTAAAAAAAAGGACCTGGGTTAAAATTCTAATAGCCTAATAACTTTATTCCCTGTCTTCTCAGTGCCTCAATCCCCTCCTCTGTAAAGTTTCTTAGTCATTAGATTGTTGTGAGAATTAAGGGGTGTGTGTATGTATATGTATATGTGTACACACACACACACACACACACACACACACACACACACACTCTAGAAGCCCGGTGCATGAAATTCGTGCACTGGTCGGAGGTGTCCCTCGCCCAGCCTGTACCCTCTTCAATCTGGGACATCCCTCTCACAATCCAGGACTGCTGGCTCCTAACCGCTTGTCTGCCTGCCAGCCTGATCACCTCCTAACCACTCCCCTGCCGGCTTAACACCTAACTGCTCTCCTGCTGGCCTGATCGCTCCTAACTGTCCTCCCCTGCAGGCCTGGTTCCCCACAACAGCCTCCCCCGACCCCCCCACAGGTCTGATCTTGCCCTCAACTGCCCTCCTCTGCCGGCCAATTTGGTTCTGATTGGTTGGTTTCTATGCCAGTCAGTGTCCAAAGCTCCACCTCCTAGGCAGCCATTGGCTCCTCACACTTGACCCAGATTTGGTTCTGACTGGTCGATTTCTATGCCAGTCAGCATCTCTGGGCCTATCAACGGGGCTTGATCAGAAAGGCGGGGCTGATCAGCAGCTCCGGTGGAGGTTGGAGAGAAATGGAGGTGTTTGCTGACCAGGCCCAGAGCTAAAGAGAGAGGCAAGTGCTGATCAACAGCTGCCACAGAGGCTACGGATCAGACCCTGCTTCTCTCTCAGGCCTCTCTCTGGCCCTGATTTGCAGTCCCCTCAGCAGTCAGTGCTGGGTCACCATGCCTGCAGCCATAGGAGTCAGCGCTGGGTCACCACAGCAACCCAGCGCTGACTGCAGGACTGACTTCTGGTTGGTTGAGCCTCCTGGTCGTTGCAAATATGATGGA